TCATGAACATGATACGCTCAATAGCTTCTACGTGGTTCGGCCAAAAAAAACTTCTTCTTGGTTGACCTGCGACAAGTTGACCATTGACATGTTGGACCTTTGACCGTTGGCTTTTTTGAAAAAAAGTTCATCTCTTTAAAGGGACAATTCCATTTCTCCCCCTAACTTGAACCCATACCTGGCATTTACCCCTAATTTTCGAGTATGCTCAAAAATACCCCTCTTCCGTCTGGTACCGTTATAGGAATGCCCTTCCGTGCCGTTTCCGTCAGGTCAAAGGGCTTTGACCGTCTCCATGGCATTTCTTGGACAATTATACCCCTCCTTACAAGTGGGGCCAATCAGTAGAAAAAAAATTGAGGCCCACCGTACCGGTCTGCCATCCTTCAACCTTCTGACGCATAGGGAAACGGAAGAGAGGAGCTCTGGCTCCGGCCATCGCCGGAGACTCGCGGCCATAGAGCGCTCCCAGAGGACCATAGCGAGACCGCGACGTCCTGCCGCACCCTAGAGAGATGAGCCCTGCGCTCGGGGGCCAAGGGAGGCGTCGCCCTGCTCAACAGATGCGCGGTCATGGCAGGGCGCCGTCGGGGTCCACCCCACGGCCAACCATTTGGAGAGGGATAATGCTTTCCACGACGAGGGAGGTGCTCTGTCGGAAGGAAGCGCAGAGGGAGGCCCCAAGGCTCGGCATCGACAGCGCACTTCTTCTCTTCCCCAACTCCGTCGGCGTCGTCTTTCGTGCGTGTGGCAAACGGACTCCCAGAGCTCAAAAATTGCGTCCATGATCTTCGCCACAGTTTAATTTGTTTTCTCGCCGAAGGGTGCCCGGGATAGCCCTAATCGCTGGCGCCCCTTTCCTTCTTCCTCGGCTCCGTTCCACTGCTGCTGCGGCCGATCTCCGGCCATGGTGAGCCCTCGGTCTCTACGCCATATTTCTCGCGTTCCTTGCGGTTTCCTAAAGTCATTCTTGTCATTTCTTTGGAGCCGCACGACCCCGAGCACGTCTTCCTGCGAGCTCCAAGCTCCGCCGCCCGCTGCCCTCGTCGCCGCTGCTCGAGCTCACTGATGTCCGTCCCCCCGGCCACCCCACGCTCTCCGTCCACCTAGGTTCACTCTGGATTCGCGCCAGTAGCCTCGTAGGACCACTCTGCAGCACCTAGACCGCCAACATCCTCGTGTATGTCGCCGCCGTGCCTTCGTGCACGCGCCGGTGTTTAACCACTATCGTTAAAAACTTGTTTAATTAGCCTAACCCTCTCTGTTAATTATTACATTAACCCATGGACACTCTAGTAACCAAAACAGGTAATAAATATCTTAAAGAGACAATGACATGTGGGCCCCCAACTCTAATTTGACTAGTCCCTATTGACAGGTCTTTATTTTTTTTCTTGATTGGCCCCACTTGTAAGGAGGGGTATAATTGTCCAAGAAACGCCATGGAGACGGTCAAAGCCCTTTGACCTGACGGAAATGGCACGGAAGGGCATTCCTATAACGGTACCAGACGAAAGGGGGGTATTTTTGAGCATACTCGAAAATTAGGGGTAAATGCCAGGTGTGGGTTCAAGTTAGGGGGAGAAATGGAATTGTCCCCTCTTTAAAAGAGTTCACGGATTTGAAAAAATGTTTGCGGATTTGCAAAATGTACACAAATTGAAAATACCATGAAAGTATTGAGAAAAATTCACGAATTTTGGAAAAGGAAGTTGAAGGACTTGAAAAAAGTTCATCGATTTTGAAAAAAAATCATCGACTTTGAAAAAATTTCATTCATTTTTTAAAAAAGTTCATTGATTTTAAAAAAAGGCTCGTTGATTTGGAAAAATGTTCATCCATTTTGAGAAAGTTCATCGATTTTCAAACAAAGTTCATCAATATTGAATTTTAAAATAGTGCATCAATTTTGAAAATGCATCCACAAATTTGAAAAATAGTTCGTTGATTAAAAAAAGCGAAATAGAAAAAAGTTCGCACATTGCAAAAGAAAAACAAAAACAAAACAGAAACAGAAAAATAAAAGAAAACTAAAAATAAAAAATAAAAACCAAACAAGACTGTTGAAAAAAGGGAAAAAAGAAAAAAGAACAAAATTGTTGGAAAAAATGAGGAGAAAGGAAAAAGGAAAAAGAGGAAAGAAGAAAGAAGAAAAGAACGAGAAAGAGGTACATTATCACGTTGCCTAACGGTGGTTGTTTTCTTTAAGAGGTAAATACACCCGTGGTGCTTCAACTTGCCACGGATGTGCCACGGATGTTCAGTTTAGTGTCTGAACTTAAAAAATATATCGAACTAATTCTAAAACTTGGCACGAACGTGCAAATACGGTGCTAATCACACCCGTAGACGTAAAGTGCGTCGAGGTGGCACCGTATATGGCCGATGTGGCACAGACATGGCATGGGGCCCACTTATAACGGATCCGGCTTGCCTGCTCGTCAATTTTGAAAACGCATCCACAAATTTGAAAAATAGTTCATTGATTAAAAAGCGAAATTGAAAGAAGTTCGCACATTGCAAAACAAAAACAAAAACAAAACAGAAACAGAAAAATAAAAATAAACAAAAAATAAAAAATAAAAAACAAACAAGACAATTGAAAAAAGGGAAAAAAAGAAAAAAGAACAAATTCTTTTGAAAAAATGAGGAGAAAGGAAAAAGGAAAAAGAGGAAAGAAGAAAGAAGAAAAGAACGAGAAAGAGGTACATTATCACGTTGCCTAACGGTGGCTGTTTTCTTTACGAGGTAAATACACCCGTGGTGCTTCAACTTGGCACGGATGTGCTACGGATGTTCAATTTAATGTCTAAACTTAAAAAATATATCAAATTGGTTCTAAAACTTGGCACGAACGTGCAAATACGTAATCACACCCGTAGACGTAAAGTGCGTCGAGGTGGCACCGTATATGGCCGATGTGCCACAAACATGGCGTGGGGCCCACTTATAACGGATCCGGCTTGCCTGCTCCCTTCTCATGCTTCCATCTGTGCTCCCACTTTATCCTACGACTGCCTTTTTTTTCTTTTTCCTTTCTAATCTAATCATCTTCCCCTAATTTTAAGGGGGTGGGGTCGGGCCTTATCTTATTTCAATCAAATCAAGTCACGTACGCAGGAGCACGGATGGGCACACGCGCGGGGAGCAGGCAAGTCTCGTCCACTTATAACTACGAAACATAATTACTTGAATAGTAAACGTCTCTATGACTAGTGGCCCCGACTGTTAGTACCTTAGCATAAATAAAATGGAAAATGCGCCAATCAGGTATCGCACCAGCAGCAAGACGATTACACGCTGCTAATGCAAGCCACCACACCTCATAATCGTTTTCGTTAAATTTGGCGCCTCAGTCAAAATATACTAAGCGAGAGACTCCTGTGTCTGGAAATGGGCCGCAGCCAGTGGCCCATATCGCACACGTTATTTTTTTAAATGTAAAAATATGTAAATAATAATCATAATAATAAAAGTAAGATTCAAATATTCAAATGTTATAATAAAGTACCTCATGCCACACAAATATCAATGTGCATACAAAGTTAATATATAGAGGTATACTATACAAAATAAAATAAAAAATTAAAACATATTCCTGTAATATTTAGAAATACTTAATTATTATTTATAAAATATATTTTATATGTTAGTATTTATGAAAACAATTAAACACTCATGGATTATATTTAAAATAGTATTTTCGAATAATAAGTTAATATTTCTAAAAATTACAGGAACATTTTAAGGTATTTTATTACATACCTCTATATCTTTATTTTGCGTGCACACGGATATTTGTGTAGCATAAAGTAATTATTAGTAACACAGGAATATTTGAATCTAGATTTTATTATTATGATTATTATTGACATACTTTTTACATTAAAAATAATGTGCGGAAAATGGGCCACAGGCTGCAACCCATTTATGTATACTGGAGTTTTCGGTTAAAATACATTAAGGATGAAGGGCTGACATTAACTTGAAAACATATTTGGTGGAATGATGAGGCCAAGTATTTCCCAAATGTCAGGTCGCAGGTTTGGTGCCCGTCCATTACGTTCTTATGTTATTTTTCTTACTAATTACTTATTGACAAGCGGGCCCACTAGTCATAGGGTCATATATAGTACTCGAGTAATTCTGTTTTGTAACTATAAATAGGCCCCACGCCATGTCAGTGCCACGTCAGCCATACACGATGCCATGTTGACGCGCTTTACGTCTATGGATAGGATTAGCACCGTATTTGTATGTTCGTATCAAGTTTTAGAACTAGTTAGGCATATTTTTCAAGTTCAGGCACTAAAGTGAACATTGATGACAAGTTCAAGCACCATCGTTGTATTTACCTCTTTCTTTAACACAGTGCAGATGCAAGCGCTCATACATACGCACATACTCTCATCCCTATAAATGTACACACGCACACCCTACCCCTATGACCACCTTCGAGAAACTGAGCCGAAGTCATCATAGGCGCCTCGTTGTCGACGTGACGTCTTCTTCCACTGAAAGTGCATCGCCGGAAATCCTGAAATAAATCCAGGAATAATGCGAGCACTAGGACTTGAATCCTAGTGGACTGGGGATATCACTGTCCCTCTAACTATCCAATCACATGTTGGTTTGCTAACAGTGGCGGGTTGGTTGTCGAGGGGGTGTGCCCCCGTTCTCTGTACAGTGTATACATATACATCGGGCAAAGAGTTTCTAAAATATGACCATCATGCGCTTTCTTATGAAGAAGTATGGGCTAATCTAAGTCGTTTATGTGTTTAGGGGTGTACCGAAGAAGTGTTTGTCTTTGTGGGGAATCCGAATTAGAACATTCATCCAATAGAATACATTAGAACACGAAATCAGAGGAGGAGATCTGGTTAGTCACATAAATGGTAAACTGAAATGGTTACAGACTTCACACAACACTGCTAGAAATGGACACCGTTACCAAACTCAGAAATTAAAGATCTGTACAAATCGCTTGCATTCTACTTTCAGCTGAAACTTCTGAGAGCCACCGTCAGGTTCCTCACGAGCTCAGCCGCGGACGAGAAGCCCTCTTCGATCTGCACAAAACTCAACATGTCAATCTTCGGATCATGCATCAGAAGCTTATTTTCTTGCAAGCTACAACCGCATTTGCGCAATGGAAGAGAAGCCTTGCCTTGGCCGTGATGGTGATGTTGAGGCAGGAGTCGGTGAACGGGACGACGTTGGTGTTTATGATGGAGAGGCCCTGGTTCTCGAGCTCGGAGAGGACCATCACCAGCACCCCTCTCCTCTCCTTGCAGCAGATTTTCAGGAGCGCCGTGTGCCCCCGGATGCTGGCCTCGACGGCCGGGCTCGAGTCCTCGGCCGCGTCCCCGGACCCGCTGGGTCCTGCTGCGTCGTTGTCGGCGGCCGATATGCGGCACTTGCTCTCGAAGACGGTGGTGGACTCCGACGACCTCCGCGAGCCTTGCTCCTCCAGCGCCCTCACCTTGTCCTCCAGCTGCTTCACGTAGTCGATGGTGCTCCCCAGCAGAGAGATCTTGTCTGTCTGAAAACAATGGCGAAGGGTAACTAATGGAGCTCGCCGCGGGCAGTTGGTGTGGTGACCACGTGAATGCAGCCACGTTTCCTTGTCACGCACCTTCCTGAGGCCGGGGACGATGGTGGCCAAAGACACGAACTGCTGCTGCAGCTTCTCCCGTCGCTTGCGCTCGGCGATGACGTGCTCCTGCGCGTTCGCCGGCGCCCTGCTCCGCCTCTCCGGCGCCTGCAGCTGCATCGTCCCTTCCACGCCGTCGTGCTGCCAGGCGCCTCCCGAGAAGTTCAGGGTGCCAGCCTGGCCGGCGCCGAAGGAGAGGAAGTTGGACGATGGCGGCGGCGGAGACGGCTGCCCCAGCTCGTTCTTCACCGTCGTCGATCCGAACGGCAGGTTCGGCAACGACGACGAGCCTCCAAAGCTCGGGAAATCGGAGCTGCGAGATGGATGGAACGACGGGGTCGCCATCGGCGGCGTGTAGTACTGCTCTTGATGGCCAGGCAGCGGCGGCTCCGCGAACTGTTGCTCCATGCCGGGCACGGGAACCCCTTCTTGCTGGTACATGTACGCCAGCTCCTCCTGTTCCTGAAACCAGCCATTGCAAGAAGAGCTTATACCTCAAATTCACAGCATGTTAACTTTCAGATGCCACAAGTAATTAGGACCAAATGCGCTTACCGTCTGCGTCAGCCATTGATTCGGTTGCTCCATTACTGCTCACTACCCACAGAAGAAGAGCTTGATAGTTAAACATACGCTCACAAGCGCAGAGGAACACCAAGCTTATAGAGAAGTGGAATTTCTGGTCAAGGCATACCTCAAACCTCTGTTCTCTTCCCGGCTCTTCTTTCTCGACTGGCTGTCGTGTGTACAAGCAGAAGAAACCGGCATATATAATGGTGTGAACTTCCGGCAGGTGGTGTTGAGAAGAAGGCGTTCGTTCACGTGCTCCATGCACTCGCAGATAAGGTCAAGGTACTTGCACGTTTGGTCCGCTCCACCGTACGCGCTGGTGTTGACATCACAGCTCCGATCTCCCAAGATCATAATTCCACCCGGAGGATTTGTTATCTGAAACTGGTTTGTAAACAAGACCTGTCTGAAGATTCAGTAGGTTCGCTGACAGTGACACTCGGATAGAAAGTGTGCATGCTTGCTTGACGAGGTCTGTTTCACTAGGAAGGACTCCCTCCGTGAAGAAATATAAAAGCGTTTATAGATAGATTGAGCGTTTAGATCACTAAAGGGAGTTTATAAACGCTCTTATATTTCTCCACGGAGGGAGTACACGACAACTGCAAATAGGTTTAGCAATTGTTACATTGACTGAACCAGTACGTGTTTGTGTGTTTGTTTGTGGAATGATCGGTTGATTTGATTTGTTGTTGGAGTGATCGGGACACTTTCGTCAAGGGTGTGCACAGTAGGTTGAAGCGACGGCGACATTTCTGGAGGGACCTGTTCAAATGGCGTTGGAGGGCAAGCACAGTTTATGAAACTCCACTAGTGTGCATATGATAATAATATAGGAGTATATATACTAATGTCATATCGTTTTGTCAATTGGTTAGGAGATCCACGCGATAATGGCGCTGCCTTTTTTATGCTGAATCTGCAAGCTTTTTAGATTACAGGAGCAAATCCCAAGAAAGTCCCAAGAAAGTAGCTTCAAATCAAATCGCAAATAGAAGACAACTGTTCCGGACCAACTGGCTGGAAAGTCCAAACCTGAGGAAGGCGCGAGAAGAGGACAGATGACTCGTTTGTTCTGCCTTGATCCTATCAACGAGGTTAGGGCGTTAAGCCACTAGATTACATGTATGGCATGTTGTTTGCTTGCGCAACTTGGAGTATTTGGTCAGATCCACATGCAAAAGCCAGCAAATCTGACCCAGGTGCCGTCTCAGGTGAGGCAAAAAAAAAAAATTGATGTTGGTCAGGGTACCTAACCATCTAAATGTAAAATGTTTCACCTGCATGCTTGCATTTTGGAGTTTTGGTAAATGTCACCAGGAATTGTGTATTTTTCATTCAGGTGTCTTTTCTGATTTTGACAGCTATAGGGCAGGGTGCATCATCTTCCTGTTCAAACCAATCTTCTTGAAGCTACAATCATGTGGTAACTAGGAATCACACCATATTGTTCCTAATATATACTCCCTCTATTTACAAATATAAGGTGTTTTAGATATTTCACTATGGACTACATACGGACTGAAACAAGTGAACAAACACACTAAAATATGTCTATATACATTCGATTCAGAAAAAAAAAAACTTCCTATATTTGCGAACTGAGAGAGCAGTAGATAACTCAATATTAAACATTCTGCAATACTATTTTAAAAAGAAACAGCAAGCTTAAGCTTTGGTGTCACCTTTCGGCTGGCTAACATTGCTTCCAGGAGCAACTTGGCTACATATGACATTATGATGCAATTTGTTTCCCTAGATTTAGTGGCTTCTTGCAATTCTAAATTGCTCATCTCCCGAAACCACATGGCTCAATCACTAATTAGGCATGCAGTTGACTACATTTATAGACTAACGTGGCCAACTTGATCAACAAGAGCACAACATAAAACTCTAGTCTGTACTACTTCATCGTTTTTCATGGCGTTTTTAGCAGGTCTAGTGCACCACTGGATTGCCAGCGTCAACAAGTTACTCCACTGGGCAACTTGGATTAGCTACACAAACTACAACCACATGCAAATGCCATGATTAAGGACCATTTCGGCTTAACATCCCTAAATAACCGGTTCGCAAACTTTGAGGAGGTGTTCATGCTTGAGAACTCGTGCGTGCGTTAACTTGTGCTATAGGACCATCTTGTTGGCACATTGCATTCGGATCGTATCTGAATATTTTTGTCAAATGTACAACTAAACCTAATGGCTCCAATGGAAGTAAACAATAGAGAAGACTGGTCTTTAGAGTTGTCAGGATATCATAATTGAATCTTGGAAGACGATACTGTTATCCTAGATATATAAAAGTAAGACTTGTGGGTTTTACAATTAGTTTTACTCACTGGCGAAGGAATCAACACAGACTTCCCTTGCAATTTGCAAAATCATGCAAGTTGTTCCACCGGAACTTTTTCTGTCATCAACATGGCAACATGATCTAGTAAAGTAAGATGTTATCAAGATGAAGTCCCAATTTACTCTCGGTACATGCATTAAACCTAAGGAACAGACATTTGTTAAAAAATGTTCATCCATTTATTAATAATAATAAAATAAAATAAAAGTGCAAAAATATAGATAATAGAAAAAATCCGAAGGATATGCTTGTTTCATGCTTTCCGAGGCGCCCTTCAAACCTTTACAAATTCTGGGGAAAATCTCAAATTAATTTATCACCGAACACTCCTACCTCCTAGGATTCTCCAAGCTCCAAGAGTAAGGCAATTGAAGGGAAAGCTTGGAACTTGCTCAAAATCATGATTCCGGTTGGTCAAAAGGCGGAGGACTAGATCTATGCTTGGTGAAATCCTCTCTCAAATCTCTCATGAATTCCTAAAGAAACCAAATGTTTAGGGCTGAGGAAGCGTGTGTAACGACCAACCTTTCCAGGTTATGGTTTCCGTGTGTTCTATGCCATCACCTGGACCAAATCGCCAGCATACATGGTACAAATGTGACATCAAACACAAATCATCATTTCATTACATCGCATGATCGAGAATGTAAATGAGACTTACAAACTTCTAGCCCAAGGTTAGTCAAATATATAGTGTTACAATTGTTGGAAATATGAGCAATTTACCGAATGATTTTATTAACAGAAATACTAGATAAAGCATGACTAATATAGTAGAGATAAAACAAGTCATGCGTTCAGACAGAGAGAAGGTAAAGAGCATCTGCATATATGAACTTGAACTAAACACATCTAGAACAGATACTAGATGAAGTTGCATATATGAAGTAGAACCTAACACATGTAGGACGGAAAGTAGAGCAAAGAACTGTGTCATGACATCTAACAGAAAGAGCAAGAACACGTACGGGACAGCAGCAGTAGAAGTGCTGGACTTGGGGTCGGTGTCCTCGCCCGCCATGTCATGGAGGAGGTCGTGGACGTCGGGGAAGAAGTCGTCGTCGGGGAAGTAGTCGTCGGCGACCGGATCGTCCATGATGAAGCAGCCAGTAGTCGCGCTGAGCGCTCCCCAAAAACCTTATCACCCTTCCCTGTACAGGACTCAAAAGGTGCGGTTTCGGAGGCCTACTGTCCCGATCTGCGGTGCACGCCGCAAGCCGGGATGGGGAAGATCGTAGCAGCAGCGCACTGCTCAGGAACTTGTGGCGAGAGGAGGAAGAGGTTCTGGTGCGTCTCTCTGGGAGGAGCGACCTCCCTTTTATAGGCGCAAGAGAAGGAGGCGAGAGGGCAACGACGGAAGGCGAAACAAAGAGACAGAGACGAAGCGAACAGCCAGCAGCCGAAGGGTTGCACCTTTCGCATTCGAACTCCACTTTCGCAAAAAAACATTTTCAGTTTCCGTGTGACCTTTCGTATACCCGTAGTGCGTGGCAAAAATTTAGACATCAGCTCGGCTCATTCCCGCAACTCGCGGCGCGTTGTGACGAGGCGTGGCGTGGCGAGGCGGGCGGCGGAGGAGGAGCGCGCGTGGATATCCCTCTTATTCTCATGCTCGTACAAGTGGGGAAAGAACCTCCCTTATAAGGAGGTCCAACTCCCACTAAACTAGCAATGTGGGACTAAACTTTAGTAGTATCCCTTGCCTTGCACAAATGGGCTAAGTGGGCCTCTTGGATTTATTAGGAATTTCTGAAATAGTTATTGGGCTGCCCAAAATAGACTAAATTCCAGCAATCACTGAAATAGTTATTGGGCTGCCCAAAATAGACTAAATTCCAGCAATCCCCCACCAGATCCTAGAGGCACATAGAAATTTGCCTTTGGTTCCAAAACACTGTTTTATATACCAGTACTGCAGTGGAGACTGTTAAGTTGAACTTCCACCTAGAACTCTATGCTACACTAGTAAGCAACTTGAACAGTGGACTGGGTCTTGAACTGCAAGTTTTCTGCGAATCTAGCTTCACATAAAGCCTTGACCGATACGTGGCTACCGTGGGTCTTCCCCGTGGGTGGAGCTTATGCGTCATACTCCGTGACCTTTCATGAGTTTACTAGAGAGAACCCTACTCTCATAGATTGTGACGTTTGACAATCGGACTCATATAGGTGTGTTCTTCAAAAGATGTTCTGCAGGATAACATCTCTGCTTAAATAAGCCACTTAGAACACATTAAGATATACATCAACCTGCCATGCAGATAGGAGAGTATTGCATCTTCATGGAGTGGTATTGTGAATAGTAAGGATACTCTCCTCTCAGTTGACCAACAACTTGTCTTCCACATCTAATTCACGGGATCTCCGATCACAAAGTATAGGTTACCACTGTGAACAACTCATATTGTGGGTCTCATACCCATCTCCCTCGATGCATTATCTATCACATTACGTGATAGACCCTTGGTAAAAGGATCTGCCAGATGTTTAGACGTTTGGATATAATCCAACGCAATAACTCCGGAGTTTTTCATTTTCCTGACAGATTTTAACCTTCTCTGAACGTGTCTTGATGACTTCATGTTATCATTTGAGCTGCTCACTTTCGTGATCACAGTTTGATTGTCGTAGTTCATAAGGACACCCGGTACAAGTTTCTCAAC